TTCAAGTCAAATTTCGTTTTTGTACTGGATTCCAACTGTTTTGCCATTCCTTACAGTGTATCAGGGTCGTGGAGCAGCCTTGTATTAGTCTCCGGGGGTCGCGCCCGTCACCTCACAAAGAGGCCACGTGGTACATAGAAATCACGTTTACTTATATATCATTTTGTCTAAAAAGGTCGATTCCCTACGCAGTCACGGTGAAACATGAATAAGTATACAACGAAACAGGAGGTGCTCGTTTGTTGTGTTCACATGGCATCGGCGACCCGTGAAGTTCCGGGGTAGAATAGGTCTTCACCAACCCATGCTTGCCGTAAAAAGCGACAATGCTTGTCATAAGAGGCGACAAACGGGATCGGGTGGTCAGGCTCGCCGACTTGGTTGATGCATGTCATTGCATTCCAATTCATGATGTCAATCAATGGATTGTCTGGTCCAGACGCGAATAGTTACAGACCGCCGTCATATATGAAATATTGCGGCGTTAAAAAAAAAAATCGGCAACAGTTTCATCATAAAGCATATTGTACGTGGAGACAGGAATATAGTCAAGTTAGGTGTGGCTGCATCTTAAACTATGCCCCCCCCCCCCCCCCACACACACACCTTTTATTTTTGTTTGTTCGACAACACTACGGGCGGTGGGAGGCCCACGGGAATGTGATCTAAGCCTTGGCTTATGTTGCTCGAATCACACATACGTCCTGAAGTACCATTGAAAGCGGGGCTGATCAAAACTCACTCTCTCGTTTGCATATCTCACTGGTCGCTCGAAGTTAGTATCGGCATTAGTCTGGAGTACACGAACAGACAGACAGACAGACAGACAGACAGACACATACCTGATCAAGTTTCGGAATGAAAATAAACTAAATTCTACCATGAAATTTGGAATTTACTCGATTCTGATTGGTCAATCAGAGGTTTGAATCACAATAGACCCCCTCTGATTGAAACAGCTGGTTTGACGGCCGCATCACCGAGGAAGCTAATCATAGAATAGTACTTTTTTCAGTCATTGTCGGTAGCCATATTTAAATAATTATATCTACAATTACAGGTTACAAAATGCACAGATGCGGTTACTACAATATTCAAAGGATGTGTGGCAATACAGAAAACACGTGCAGAAAACACCATAGATATCTACAAAGGAAATGTTTCTACGGAACTTGGAATTTTAGCGCTTTTCTATATATACGACTAGCTGTGACGTCATATCTTTTGCGTCACAATGAGCGATATGACGTCATAATGGTGACGTGAGATGTAGAGCGAAAGCCTTGCAAAGCTTGCTTTGTTTTCTTTAGGGATGCCCACCTCATGTCAGCCTACCAAGTTGCCGTGCTTATATGCTTTCAATGCCTGTCATATGTTCGAGTGAAGTATTAGGATGTAAACAAACTGCTTGAGTATATACAGCACAATATTTTGTTCGGTGATTCCGTAATTCAGATCGATAACCCACTCAAAACACTGGACTCAACCCATGCCGCTTCACTCAGTATATTTGCTAACACCAAAGAGTTCGCGTTTTATTTAGTCATGGTAGAATTGAGATAAACATACTGTGTTTTCAATGTAGAGCTAGGTTACCAGTATATTTAACCGCGCTAAATTGAATTTGGAACCGAACGCTCAGCGTGAGGTTTCAAATGTTAAATTTAGCTCCTAATTATCCTTATCATGCCTCCAAGTCAGAATGATGAAACCATCTTGTTAAAATACTGTATTATACCACATCTCCATCGTACACCCTGCAATCCGGCAGAGCTTGGAGAAACCTAATGGCTTGGTACTCAGTTTAGTGTTAGTTCGGAAACTCTTTGACCCAGACACGGTAACCAGAACTCTGTGGATAAAATGTGGTAACGTTGCATTGAGTCGCGTTAGGAACAACACCTTAAAACATGCATTCCTCTCTATAGTGTCTCTGTATAATGAAGGGGTGGAGTAGCCTAGTGGTTAAAGCGTTCGCTCGTCACACCGAAGGTCCGGATTCGATTCCAAACATGAATACAACGTGTGAATCCCATTCATGGTGTCCATCGCTGTGTTATTGCTGGAAAATTGCTAAAGGCTGCGTAAAACCATACTCACTCACTCACTCACTCACTAGACCACGAAAAAACCCCAATACCAAATACCTAAAATAATTGTTGCGATCATTGTTCCACTTGTTAAAAACTCAGATACAACCATGACCCTTTAAAAGCTTGAACTGCTCTTGACCGACTTTGATTCTGCATTACTATTGACATAAAGTGCTCGATCTGAAGTCCTCCTTATGCATCACCAGCCCCGGACGAGTATTATACACCAACGGTTGTTTGCTACCTCCATGCATTCCGCAATCACTAGTACTAAGTTGACCTTACATTTGACCCGTTTTGCTTGCATCTACCAGGGGCAAACCTGACTATAACGTAACATTAAATAAATGGATTTATATCGTGTTGAGAACACTTACTCGTAAACCACGGTATGTGCGTTACAATACAGCTGTTATGGTCGACAAAACGGAATAAGCTCTTAAAGGTGCAGTGTGGGCTAAATTGAGTGAGGGAGTGCTTCGCCTTTTTAGCGCTGTGTGGCTTCGCTCAGAGTGAGTGAGTGAGTTAAAGCTTTACGTCACATCGGCAATATTTCAGCCATATGGTGACGAGAACATTTATGATACTGACATTAGAATAAAAAACCTGTCATCGACGGGCAGTAAAACAACTAGCATATCACAGTTTATAAGTAAAACTAGTTTAGAACAATTAAAAGAATAACCTATTATTCAACAATACATTATAAAAACGGGCTACAGATCGCCAGCAGCCAAAGTTAGTGAGTGGGTTGGATTTAACGCCGCTTTAAACAGTTTTTTCAGTAACATCACGGCAACACAGCTAGCTTGATGTGGAAGGAAAACCCGAAGTGACATAAGTCTTAGATGTTTACAATTTTCGTGTAACCCATGAAAAGGGTTACAATTTTGATAAACCAAGGATCATATTCAGGGAGAATCTGGGATTTGAACCCATGATCTTGACAAGCCTAAGTGACGTAAATGAAACCCATGAGAAAGGTTACGATGCTGACAAACAAAAGATCATATTCAGGGAGAATCTGGGATTTGAACCCATGATCTTGACAAGCCTAAGTGACGTAAATGAAACCCATGAGAAAGGTTACGATGCTGACAAACAAAATATCATATTCAGGGAGAAGCTGGGATTCGAACCTATGATCCTGGTAAGCCTAAGGGACGCAACTCTGATACACGAGTAAGACGTCACACAAGCTCAGCCAGAACTGAACTTGAATATCACGTAAGTAATATCCATACGTTGAACAATGATTGTGACTGTATTACATTGTTTCTGATGAGATTCAGTAGAAGTTCATTGCATTGTATTTGGATTATGATTAGTTGTCAGGAATGTAGTACTATTTAATGTAAGCAGTGGTGAGGAAGTTATTATATTTAGACGCTCGAATTATCATTAAACATTGATGGGTGTCAAGCGTTATAGAAACGTGGAATATTCTGTGATGTTCACGTGACACTCGACCGGTCTGGCACTGAAAAGGCGGTTAGACTGTACAAATGGAGCGGGCGCGTCCCTGCCTCATCTCACATTTCATCTGACATTACTTCAAGACCAGCTTTCGTGTTAAGATCACTTATAACCCCTGATTCCCACCCGAGGCCTGTTTCGGATGCTTGCCAACTGTTGCGTCGAGGTGATTTTTATTCCTGTCATTGTCATTTCCACTTCTCTCACATTTTATACCGCCATTGAATATTGTACTACCACTATATTATGTACTGCCCGACTAACGGGATCGAGTGGTCAGGCTCGCTGACTTGTTTGGTGCATGTCATCAATCCCAATTGTGTGGACCGATGCTCATGATATTAATCACTGGATTGTCTGGTCCAGGGTCGATTATTTACAAACCACCGTTATATAGCTGGAATATTGCTGAGTGCGGCTTAAAACAACAAACCAGCCAACCAAATGTACTGCCATTGTGAATGCTCTGCAGTAATTTGTATTGAGTTGTATACCTAGTGAATTTTGTAATACAATTGTTGATTATATACCATTTGTTGGTTTCGCACAAAACTTTTCGTACAGATTTCTGGGTTAACATATTGTTTCAATTTGGGAATCGACACGTAACATAAGTCAGTCTCGCATACTGCCTTTAAGGCTTAAACGTACATACTCCACTCACATGCTCTGCAAGCGTAAACAGAATGATTTAGAATAACGAAGCAATTGTTTTAGAGTAGATTTAGGTGGTGTTAATGTTTATGACAATGCTCCACAGTTTTTCATCTTTTAACGAGCGCCTCGCAAATCACACTCCCCGTGCTCGTGCAGCCGTGATAAAATCTTGCTTAGGTGTGCGTTTAATCATTAGCATACATCTCGTGCGGTTTGCGTAAATCTAAATGCGAATTCCTGGTATTAATTATGAGCCTGAGAAACATAGACAATTTATGCATTCCTGGAATAATAGGAATAATGATCATACGGCGTAGAGATGGTCCGCGACCCCGGTGAAATGTCTGAATTATTAAAAACACTATTGTGGTTGGTTGATTTTCAGAGAGAGAGTGAGAGAGAGACACACACACACACAAAGAGAGAGAGAGAGAGAGAAGAGAGAGAGAAGAGAGAGAGAAGAGAGAGAGACACACACAAAGAGAGAGAGAGAGAGAGAGAGAGAGAGAGAAAGAGAGAGAGAGAGAGAGAGAGAGAGAGAGAGAGAAATCGACTGGTCCCCCTAGATTTTCACTAGTCGCGGACTATTGGGCCAGTAGTCGTGTCGATCCATCATATACCCACACATACCATAGGCTGAATGGACAAATCATACGTGACACAACAAATCATATCCTTTTAAACAGTTTCAACAAACGCGCCTTGCAATATCATACAACACATACATCGCTTGAGTATTCTTAAAGAAATAGAAAACTTGATTTTGATACCTACCATGGAGATATGTTCCACCGGATTTTTCACAAAGGTTTCTAGAAATCCCCCCATCCACATAGAATGCCACCACAAGGTGTCCAAAGTTTGCGGCTGGGTATGGGTCGACAACCAGCACGGCTTCGTGGGAAGAGGACCTTGTTAAACTTTCGTCTGGCAAGTTGGCGCGGTATTTGCCGTATGGTGTTGGGGCAGCCACATACACGTTCATAGCAGATTTGGGGATAGCTACTAACTGACGACATTCTCTTGCAGTCGTGAAGAAGACCACGGCACAGTTTAGATTGTGAATATAATGATAAGCAGCATCCGCCCAGCGCTTGAGTCGAAAGTCGTGATTGTCGTCTGCTCCCAGCGTGTATTTGTCCTTATTGAACACAGACGACACAAGATGAAAATGAAGCGCCACTTGTAGACATATATGTAGAAACGTTCTCTTTCTCAACCTTTCGAAACACATTTTTGGATGAAATGTTAAAAGGCTTGTGTGAGGAAGAACTTTCAGTGAAACGAGGTTATTAATTCGTTTTCTTTTCTCAAATAACCCAGCCGTTCAGCTAACACCATACGACACCATTTTCCCCGCGTGCACTCACTCCGAGAAAAACGGAATCAATTAGGAGATTTTTCCAGGATTTGTTTTCTTCTAGTGTAAATATTCCTCCCAATACCGCCTGTAATCTTGACTATAACACAAGCGTGTGTCTTGTAATGTCTTGTTCCCGCTGAAACAACCCGCACGGCTCCGATCGAGGTTCCTTGTCACAAGGCCCACAAACAAACTACACACGAGTTAATTCCGAACCCGATGAATGCAGAAATACTCGTCTACTGTATCGTGCGGTCATCGTAGTCACGGTACCTAAAACGAATTAATCCCATGCAGAAAGCTTAACGCCTTTTCATTGGTCGAGGGTACTTAGCATACCACGCGCTGGTCAGGACACGTCAGTATGATTGGTCAGCGGGGTTTTCAATCATAACGCACGTACCTCCACAATACACAAGCGGCTCGCTGCAGTGAGGGTTTCGTCGCGAATTCACCTGCTTGACGGCCAACAGGTGATTTGTCGCCATGAATACTTCCGTGAAGTAAACATGAGTGGGTTTATGTTAAGACTGTCTTCGTTCTCCCTACGCGCAACGCTCAACACCGTTGGAGGAACAATATGCGAGTAATTCTAGGCGTGTAGTGTGGGGGGTGCCCATTCATGAGTTTCGACACGAAAGCCGCGCGGTGAGAGTTCGGCGCATGGGTTTCATTCAGTGTGTGTTGGGGATTCTGGGAGGTTGGTTAAAGTATAATATTTGACTGTGAGGAGAATCGAGTATACCGGTGTGTGTGTGTGTGAAGGAGGGGGGACTACTATCTATAAGGCTGTGTGAATGTTTACGTAGATACTGTGCGTGATAAATTGTACTGTCGTCTTGGAAACTGAAAATTGTTGGCAGGAGAAGAAATCTGATGTAATTAAGATTTCCAGAATTTAGAAAGTGTTTCCTTGGTGTAATGATCAGATGCTAACGCAGTTTATTTTGCTTGCAATTAAGAAAGATATATTGTGATTGCACGCAAGTCAAGGATTGCTGATAAGACTCAGAGAGACACAAGTTTTCGGATGATTTACGCCCGTCTAAATAAATGATATAGATTATATAACACATGTCGAATTATGCATGCTGAGCATACACAATACATATGTCGGGATACATATAGGATATATTACACGGAAATACAAGACATATCAGATATATGTAGGCATTATACATATAAACCCAAGATCGATACACAGAGCGTTTGAAAAAAATATATACATGAAATGCCACTCACATGTGAAGAGCTAGATAAAGAGAGCTTTTCACACATTTCTGGTTTAATACTGGTAATTCAACCTAGATTCGACTTACACGTATATACTGTCTACGGCCACATAAACTATGATCTATGTTAATCCCGTCAGAATCGTTCCACGAAGAATCGTCGTGAATAACACATTTCCGTAATATGGAATTGCCTTTGCATGTGTTTGGGACGGCCTCCACAGGCTTAAAATATAGTCGGACTCGTACAATGGACACTGCTTTAAGCATATATTTCTTATGATAATGGGCATGTATTTTTGTCGATTTAATACCAGAAGAGTGGGGCATCCGGATTGACGTGATTCGCAGTATCGAGGATTCATCATTCCTTATGACCAGAAGCCAATCACCTTACAAAAATCCTATACTCATCTTACATCTTACTTTCATCTAACAATCATCTTACAATCATCTTACAACCATTTTGCAACAACTTACAGTCATCCTACAACCCTCTTATAATCATCGTACTACTCTCTTACAATCACCCTACATCCATCTTACAATCACCCTACAACCCTCTTATAATCATCCTACAACCCTCTTATAATCATCCTACATCCATCTTACAATCATCCTACAACCCTTTTATAATCATCCTACATCCATCTTACAATCACCCTACAACCCTTTTACAATCATCCTACAACCCTCTTACAATCATCCTACAACCCTCTTACAATCATCCTACAACCCTCTTACAATCATCCTACAACCCTCTTACAATCATCTTACAACCCTCTTACAACCATCCTACACCCATTTTACAACCATCTTACACTCATCTTACTATCATCTTACAATCCTCTTACAACCATCTTACACTCATCTTACAATCATCTCCGGTCTGAAAATAGTCTGTCATACAGACCCTGAAACAAATATATCCAATACAGCCCATGCAAGTCTATAATGTTGTGCAAATCTAGATTACTGCAGTATTTCTGAAAATGAGCTCTTTTATATTATATTTTATAACTATAATTCAACGATTGTTTTTTTCCTGTTAAATGTGTTCATTTCAGAGACAAGATGTTAGTCTAGTCTGAAAACTGTTTTTCTCATCTGGCTTCATATAAAATCGGCTACATAATTATATAAAAAACCGAAAACCAATAGCTAAGTTGTGTCGTCTACATTACATAAAGAGAATAGACTCACAAATAGAAACACAATAAGAAGACGCTGTGTTGTGATGCTGGCAGTTATGGTAATAAAGAAAGTTATAAAGTCGGAATAAAATGGTGGAGTTTGTCATCAACGAAACTCTTCCTAGTTTTGAGTCATCTTACCTTTGATATTCGAGTTCATGATTGTTGTCAGTTGAATAGCGTTCATCCTGTCCTTCCTTTCATCTCAACATCGACACAGTCGCTATCAAATAACAGAATCAATAATCAAACTCACAAAATTACAAACATGTTTGTGAAATGTTAATTACTTCTGCGAAATTAACCATTTTTTCCCAAGTAAATGGAAATTGAGTATACGACGTCATGTTTTCTTACAAAAAAAAAATTTAATTCAATTTTGATTTCAATGAGACGGTAGCTTAATTTATTAAAGTAATGTCAAGAATTATTAACAAAGAGAAGACCATAGGAGACAAGTATATAAATGTGTTGTCTTTGTATTTCCTTGAAGTTGAATAATTAGTTTAAGGCAGGGCGCGGTGACCGTTATTGTTCTTGTTTGTTAAAGCTGATATCGTCCCAGGTTATTAATGCATAGTACTCAAATACACGGAAGGTTCTATCTATTTATAAACAGTAAGAAACCGAGAACGTGACCTAGGTCTTTACACATTAAAACAACCCCTAACTGTACCCATAACACAACGCAAACATAACACAAGAAAGTAACATAATTGGATAACGCAATCAGAAACCGCTTACGTTCTCGTATGTCAATTTGTGCGACGAAAGCCTCTTGGGTCAAGCGAAACAAACACATTGTGCATAATTTAAAACCTATTTATTTCTCAAATGGTGGCGTCACGGCAAACACAGAAGGAAGAATTCCGATAATGCCAGGTTTTAAATTCAATCTATTTGACAGAATCTACCGAAACGCCCCCATACGTATAAATATTTCTGATATTTATACAAGAATATTGAGTATTTTTATTAAGTTGTCCAGACACGTCTGGGATTCTGGGTACCCGGTACCTGACACTAAAAACCGATTGAAATGAAGACCGGGTGGTTATAATGAAGCGAATTGTGTGCGATTCGTTGATCGTGTTATCATCAACCGGTTGAGTATATACAGACCGTTGTGATATAGCTATGATATTGCTGAGAATAGGAATTTAACTCAGTGAAAAGACGCAGATTCAGAATTTCATCCTGAAATACCTTATGGTTTCAGTAAGCACTTGATGTTTTCAAGACACACTTGATGTGTTTAAGACAATCGATGTTTTCAAGACACACTGGGTGGTTTCAAGAAGATTAGATGTGTGTAAGACACACTGGATGTCTTCAAGACAATCGATGTTTTCAAGACACACTGGGTGGTTTCAAGAAGATTAGATGTGTGTAAGACACACTGGATGTCTTCAAGACAATCGATGTTTTCAAGACACACTGGGTGGTTTCAAGAAGATTAGATGTGTGTAAGACACACTGGATGTCTTCAAGACAATCGATGTTTTCAACACAATCTGGGCGGTTTCAAGACAATCGATGTTTGTAAGACACACTGGGTATTTTCAAGACAATCGGTGTTTTCAAGACACACTGGGTGGTTTCAAGACAATTAGATGTGTGTAAGATACACTGGATGTCTTCAAGACAGAGGGTGTTTTCAAGAGCACTGGATGTTTACAAGACACACTGGGTATTCACAAGACACACGGCGTGCTTACAAGGTTTAGTGGATGTTATCAAGACATACTTGATGTTTTCAAGACACACGGGGTGGTTTCAAGAAGATTAGATGTGTGTAAGACACACTGGATGTCTTCAAGACAGAGGGTGTTTTCAAGACACACTGGGTGGTTTCAAGAAGATTAGATGTGTGTAAGACACACTGGATGTCTTCAAGACAATCGATGTTTTCAACACAATCTGGGCGGTTTCAAGACAATCGATGTTTGTAAGACACACTGGGTATTTTCAAGACAATCGGTGTTTTCAAGACACACTGGGTGGTTTCAAGACAATTAGATGTGTGTAAGATACACTGGATGTCTTCAAGACAGAGGGTGTTTTCAAGAGCACTGGATGTTTACAAGACACACTGGGTATTCACAAGACACACGGCGTGCTTACAAGGTTTAGTGGATGTTATCAAGACATACTTGATGTTTTCAAGACACACGGGGTGGTTTCAAGAAGATTAGATGTGTGTAAGACACACTGGATGTCTTCAAGACAGAGGGTGTTTTCAAGACACACTGGGTGGTTTCAAGAAGATTAGATGTGTGTAAGACACACTGGATGTCTTCAAGACAGAGGGTGTTTTCAAGAGCCCTGGATGTTTACAAGATACACTGGGTGTTTAAAGGTACAGTGGATGTTTACAAGACACACGGGGTGTTTAAAGGTACAGTGGATGTTTACAAGACACACGGGGTGTTTAAAGGTACAGTGGATGTTTACAAGATGCAATGGACGTTTACAAGACACACGGGGTGTTTAAAGGTACAGTGGATGTTTACAAGATGCAATGGACGTTTACAAGACACACGGGGTGTTTAAAGGTACAGTGGATGTTTACAAGATGCAATGGACGTTTACAAGACACACGGGGTGTTTAAAGGTACAGTGGATGTTTACAAGATGCAATGGACGTTTACAAGACACACGGGGTGTTTAAAGGTACAGTGGATGTTTACAAGACACACTGGACGTTTACAAGACACACGGGGTGTTTAAAGGTACAGTGGATGTTTACAAGATGCAATGGACGTTTACAAGACACACGGGGTGTTTAAAGGTACAGTGGATGTTTACAAGATGCACTGGACGTTTACAAGACACACGGGGTGTTTAAAGGTACAGTGGATGTTTACAAGATGCAATGGACGTTTACAAGACACACGGGGTGTTTAAAGGTACAGTGGATGTTTACAAGATGCAATGGACGTTTACAAGACACACGGGGTGTTTAAAGGTAGAGTGGATGTTTACAAGATGCACTGGACGTTTACAAGACACACGGGGTGTTTAAAGGTACAGTGGATGTTTACAAGATGCACTGGACGTTTACAAGACACACGGGGTGTTTAAAGGTACAGTGGATGTTTACAAGATGCAATGG